CTTTTGTTTTCAGGCAGGGCGGGCGGATGTGCTAGTCCAAAAAATGAAACTAATGTGTGATTTTTCATTGCAGGCTGGGGGTGGGGGGGGGGAATGCTGCTACCAAACAGGGCGTATTCGCTATTTCCCCAAATCTGTATCTGGGTCGCACTTGGCTGGGCAAAGAGTGTTGAAAGTCAAGCAGGTGAGAAGGTGACAGTAAAACCAACCAGCAAGAATGAAGGAAATCCCTGAGATACAAGCCTGCGCTGGGTCAGAAGATTCCAAGAGCTGGTGGCCAGGTGACCCTGAGAAGCATCCAGGAGCATCTGATGATCTATCAGAAACACTTCTGGGCTGTCGTCACCCACATGCATGAACGTAGATATTTTAACTCCGAGCAGGTGCAAGGGAAAAGAGGAGTCAGTGGTCCCTGGGGGCCGGAGACCCGGCAGGGTGGAGCGGGTTACGTCAGGGTGCACCTTCAGCTGGACATTCCGGAAAGGCAGTCAGTAAGGAATGCTCTCACCACAAAACTGCTTCTAATAAGGGTGGAGGACTCTTCCTGGTGGCGCGGATGTGTCCTGGTATGACCCAAAGCTAGCCAGCTGTGTGAGGTACCCCCTCCATGCCGATGAGGCTGGGGGATCCTGCGGTGGACATAGGACGGGCAGGCCATTAAAGCCATGCTCCCCTCCCCGCCCCCCAGCCCCCTTCTGCAGAACAGGGCGGGAAGGAAAGAAAGGCGGCCGTTTCTTCAAGAGTGAAATCTGTCTTCTAATGTGAGTCAGTGGTTCTCGCGTCTCTTGCTGAGCCTGGCGTCTTAATCCCGCTGGCCGGCTTTCCTTGGAAATCTATTTGTTTTTGATTGCCTGGGCCGGCATGAATATGTAACGCGGGGCATGGAGACTCGGAGAGAGCGTTCTCCGAAGTGACAACACAGTGTTCAACTCAAGGCAGTTTCCCTTTGGAGCTGCTAACAGGAAGGGGGGCACCGCCCCGCTGCTGGACGGCAGAACGCGGTGCACGTTATTTGTGTCTCTCTGTTTGCCACTGTCAGCTGCTTGCCTCCTGTGGGTCCTTCGTTCGTGTGGTGTAGCTAAGTGAGATCAAGGGTCCCAGGGCTGGATGTCTTTTATGTAGTGGGATCAAGACTTTATTATCCTGAACTCAAAAATTAAGTTCATCTCAGTGACTGTGCAGATGTGCCACTTTAGGGACTCTCTGGAAGAATGTTTGAGCCCCCGGGGAGTCTCGGTGGCTCGGTCGGTTAAGTGCCTGACTCTTGATTTCGGATCAGCTCGTGATCTCAGGGTTCATGGGATTGAGCCCCACGTTGGGCTCTGTGCTCACAGCCTGGGATTTACTTGGGATTCTCTCTCTCCTTCTGCCCCTCTCCCCTTTGCATTCTCTCAAAAGAAATAAATAAACATTGAAAATTTTAAGTGTTTTTTTTTTTTTTTAAAAAGGATGTTTGAGACCTTTTGTACAACTTAATGGGTAAAAAACAAAGTCTTCACGGATGCTTCCATCAAAATTTAAGAGGGTCTACCAGAAGAAGGTAGATTAGGGGCACCTGGGGGCTCAGTCAGTAAAGCATCTGACATCGGCTCAGGTCATGATCTCCTGGTTTGTGAGTTCGAGCCCCCTCGTCCGGCTCTGTGCTGACAGCTCAGAGCCTGGAGCCTGCTTCAGATTCTGTGTCTCCCTCTCTCTCTCTGCCTCATCCCCACTCGTGCACTCTCTCTCTCTCTCTCAAAAATAAGCATTAAAAAAAAGTA